TATAGCCTCTTTGGCCTTCCCCGACAGTAGTGTAGCAAAAACAGAAACCTTTGCCCTGCATCGTCGGTTTTGCATTCAACGAAATTTTCGTATTGGCGAATGAATTGGCAATATTGTTCGGGATTACCATCGAAAGGTGACAGTTCGACTCTTAGCAAATCGACGTTTATATGGGCATACTTTCTTTGCTGAGGGACGAATTCTTTATTCGGAGAGAAGCCACGGTGTGTAGTCTCAGCTCGAGATAATGTTTTGCCGTCGAAATCGGTTTTCTCACGTCTGGCCTGTTCTATCTGCAGCACTGACAGGATTAACAAATCTAACATTTTCTAAAGAATCAAAATGACCCACAGCCCCCAGTGACTTGCCGGGTTACTTCCTGTTGGGTTCCAGTTTCCTTGGTTCCTCGTCTGGGCATCTTCGAAATAGTTTTCTCGTGTGATTCCAATTTGAATACTGTACGTCAACCAATTCGCGCTTGAGTGACGCCTAGCCGGACCGATACGAATCCCGAATTAAAAACACAACTGATCCGCAATGTTCTACGGTACTGAATTAACGAAATCATTACAAATGTACAATAAAGCAAACCTCAAATATGCGGCTAAAATTACTCAAACAAGCAAGCCAAATAAGATGTCCAGAGAGAGGCAAACAGTCTCTCTCGTTCTCAAACCACGCCAAATTCAAATGTGCCGGACATCCAAATTAACAGATAAATAATGATGTATGATGTTTGTGATCGAGAAATGTCAATATAAGCGCAACACACAGATAAGGTTATTTTACCATAAATCATTATGGGTTCGGACGGATTTTCAAAGCATTCCGCATGAAATAAGAGCGGTCAGGTCGCGCCTAAAACAAATAGTTTACGAATGAAGCATTAAACAAAGCAAATTCAGATACTGCAATCGAGGCGTACGTGTACAATGGAGATAGAACTTCAAAGGTCTATGGTTGTATGAGGCGGATGGTGTTCGGTGAATGGAGCGTGAAATGTACGAAATATGGAACCAATCTAGAACGGCTGGGATGTACAGAAAGGATTTTCGCAGATCGATCAATACACTGCCGTTTTCACTAAACCACCCTAACGGTTATTCGTGGATGCATTTGTGGATAGATTTTGTCTACGTTGCCGTTTGCTGAAGCTGAGCCTCTCTACACGTACGGACAAAGGTGCGTTTTCCACTCAGAATCGCTCAAAAACGAATAGACGTATGAAGTACCGCACAATAATAAACCAGCTAATGACGCTAGTGTACAGAGGAAAACCGGGATGCAGCATTAAAAAAGCGAAGTGGTATTGTATTACCAGGAAAATTTGAATGCAAATGGATACCATGTTTGAGGAAAAATACACGAGTTCTTGGTTATGTAAAATCATCACATCCACCGAAGCTTGAATGACGCTTCAGGTTTCTGTAACCGCGGTGAACTTATTGCGCAAATATTCTGATCTTCTTGGCACTTCATTGATATTTTAGGTATTTGCACCGAAATATAATTCCCCTGAAAAAGACTGAGTAAAGACAGGATTAGTTCATTCAGAACTGATATTAATGCTTGATAAACCAAAAAATAGTTAATCTAGGTGTCTGTGATACAGACACTCTACTGCGATTATGAAGTATCTACTCATAAGTAGTAGTAGAACAATGCTCAGAACCTGATAAGACGCGCATGATGTAATCATAAAGAAGAAAATAACAACACTAATAATTTTGAAAAACCATGAATCACGATAAAAGGAAAAACAATAATAATGGTATCTAAAGTATAGAGCCAGGTTAGGTCGTGTCGGGTTACA